AATCAATGTTCAAAGAGGAAGAGTGACTTATCTCTGAACACCCAGGACAGAGGTAAAATTCAAACTAGTCTTTTGGCCTTCAAGTTTTCCTATTGGATACAAAAACCTGGTTTCCAGAGGATTTTAAGGAATTTGACAAATGATAGGCTTCGGAGAGGCACACAGAGAGTCGGGACTCAAACCCAGGTTTTCCAATCACCAGCCCTGGGTCTTTTGCCACATTACAGAATTGCCACCCAAAGCGCTGGGTTTTCCCAAGAGGTGTTTGGATGGGATTCCAAGCCAGCAAGATGCAAATAGGTTTGACCTACATTCCAGCTCTTGGATAAATAAAAACTCCTAAAGGGCAGAGCCCATTTTGTGTGCTTAATTTGAGAGTCCCACTGTGGACAGTCAATATTAAACAAGAATAGGTACATTTGCCAAGGACTAACAGCATGGGTTCAATTTTAGCAATTAAAATACTGGGAATATGACTGAGGATCCTAATAAAGGTGCTGGAAGGCTGGATCGAGTAATCATAGATTTATAGGAGTTAAAAAAAACAACTTTGAAGTCATCCAGTCCAACTCATTTTATAAATGAGACCCTGAGAAATTAAAATAATGTGCACAAGGATCTGACACTGGCTGGCAACTGACCCAGTGCTATTTAACTTTTTGGCATATGGCATAGTAAGAGAATGTTTTCAGGAATGTAACATGCCATAAACTGAAGTTGGATTGGCTGCCTATGGAGTCATCATTGATTATGAAATGTCCTTCATATTTAACTTTTACTTATCCCACTGACCAATTGACCTCTAAGAAATCCCCATTGCTGGCTTTCAAGTTCAACCAAGTCAATATTTCTCAATAAGTGTCTCATTAATTTTGTTCTCCTGAATTTCTTTCATGGCATTCCCCCCTACCTGCTGGCCCTCCAAACTCCCTCCACCATTCTTTCTTTATAATTTGCCTTCCCTGAGAAGGCTTCTCTGCTTCCTTGTCTTCCCATCAATGTTCATCTTGCAATTTCCACAGTACTTATGTTCAATTCCTTTCTTCCTATTAAAAAACATTCACTTATTGCCTGGGTGTTTCCTATATCTCCAAAGGACAGGATCAATTGTTTCTACTTATATATATTTTTTTTATGGTGCCTAAGACAATGCTGTGCTCCAAAAAACCACCAAATAGTTGTTTAAGGAACAAATCATGTTGATTGACTTTGCTACAAAAGGGAGACCTTGTTAGTGGTAGAAAATGAAATTAAAATCACTTTCTTCTGCTAGGTTATTCTGAATTCTCAAAGACTAACGAGTCACATGCACATGAATTTGATAGTCTATCAAAAAACTAGGTCAGGGGCACCTGGGTGGCTCAGTAGGTTAAGCGTCTGACTCCTGATTTCAGCTCAGGTCATGATCTTGTAGTTTGTGGGATCGAGCCCTGAGGGCACAGAGCCTGCTTGGGATTCTCTCTCCCTCTCTCTCTCTCTCTGCCCCTCCCCTGCTAGCATTCTCTCTCTCTCTCTCAAAATAAACTAAAAAAAAAAACAAAAAACAAAAAAAACAAAAACAAACAAAAAAAACCAACTAGTTTGGTGGTTGATAGTGTATCAAAATATTAGTCCAGTGGTTCTGAACCCTGGCTGCTCATTCAAATCAACTTGGAAGCTTTTAAAACTACCACTACCCAGGCCTCACCACAGATCAACTGAATCAGAATCTTTGCAGGTATGCCCAAGCAATGATTTGCATATGCCATATTGGTATTTGATTTGCACATATTGATTTATACAACCTCACTCTTATGAATAGATTTTTCTAAAGAATGAGCATGATCAAATATGGTTTTGTTGTTGTTCTTAGAATCACAAAATTTTAGAACTGAGAAAGAACTAAGATAATATCTGGACCAACCCCTTTATTTTACAGCTGAAGACTCTGTGGCTTAAGAGAGTTTGAGTAGCCTGATACAGTGGCGAGATGATTGCTGAGTGACCAGTCATATCCTGAATTAGTGGAATTCTCTGAACTCCACACAAAAAACATTGTGTGTATGTGCGTGCGTGTAAGATTTGGATTTTAAAAGCTGTTAGCACCAGGTACTACTTAAAGACCAATTTGGCACATTCCATCTAGTCCGTTGTCATGGCAGAGGAAATGTCACAGTGGGATATATCAAAGTCCAAAATAAATGACTAGTATATATTTGCAGGCTTTTTCATTGGCCCCAATCCATAACATTTTACGCTATCAGAGCCCAGAGCACTTCTAGCCCTTAACTATACCACTTATTAGCAGATTTACTGCTTATGAGCAAGCTAATCAACACCCTGAACTTCCCTTTTCTCTATAAAAAGGAAGACAGTACCTGTCCTATTGACCTTGCATTTTTCAGCTATTATAAGGATTAAATCAGATGATCTACGTATGGATGTCTTGAGAATAGTAAGGCACTGTGTCTATATCTGTATAGAATTACTATGTTGCTATCTTTCAGAGCAATGACTTGTGAATAAACGTGTTACTTTGATTACCCAGGCTCTAAACCCTAATTCCTTGGTACCATGCCACCCAAGAATCAACAGGAACTGGAGTTAGTGCTGGACTAGAGTCTCTAGTCACTGAAAGTACCCCGTAACTAAATATTCAGGGAGGTAAAGTGATGTAGTGACCCAGGATTTAGCTAGTCTAGGCTCTAGTCCCAGAGTCTGCTTTTAACTATTGACTTTGGACAAATCACTTAATTTTTCTGGGACCAGAGTCTCGTCAGTGGTCAAAAGATGACTTGAATTAGAGTCAAAGATCCTTTTGATTTACAAAATCAGAATATTAGTGCTTAATTAAAATTACTAAAGTGCAATTTCCCAAGCTGTTAATTGATGTGGTTTCACATTTTTAAAATCTCTTTTTAGAAGTTCAGGGTTGGAGCCTAAAAACATAAGCCTATTTCTGGTAAATAGACATTTTGAACACATGTGTAAGACCCTTGTTAAAAGCAACATCTCTACTCAGATACTTTATGCTTGTTAGTGTCCTGTCCTGATGCCCTTGCTCCACAAATAAATATATGGTTACCCAAAAGGCATGTAATACACTACTGGACACAGAGTAGGTACCCAAATACTGTTACTTTACAGCTTGCCGTAGGAGTCCTAGCTCTTATTACTTAACTTGTCTGAGCCTGTTTTTGTATTTCTAAATGGGAAAATAGTACCTTCTTCAATGATCCACTGAGATAGCGTATATTAAAATGCAGCAAAAAGCGGGGTGCCTAAGTGGCTCAGTTGATTCAGCATCCAGCTCTTGATTTTGGCTCAGGTCATGATCCCAGGGTCATGGGATTGAGCCCCGTGTTGGGCTCTGCACTGAGCGTGGAGCCTGTTTGGGATTCTCTCTCTCCCTCTTTCCTTCTGCCCCTCTCCTCCACTCATGCTCCCTCTAAAAAAATAAAAAAAAAAATGTTTTATAAACTGTTAAAAACAATTGCAAGGTATTACTATTACCTAAGGAATGCAGACCGCTCTAAGGGTATTTTTTTAAGAGACAGATTAAAATCTTTCTGCATTAGTTTATCATGGACACAGCACCTACTCCAGTGCCTGGCTCAACAGATATGCTCAATGAGTGTCTGCTGCGTGAAGAGTATAATCCGCAGAAAAATCAAAAGCTCCATGAGCTTAGATTCCATATTTCTTTTTCTCTGCAAATTCCCAGAGCTAACACAGCATCTGACAGATAGAAGAAGACAATAATTATCAGATGAAAAATTGTTACCCCTCTAGTTCCTCTTCAACACAGCTCAAGAGGTAGACATGGGCAGAAGAGGCACCAAAGACGACTTGGAGTGGAACTGGAAGTTATTTGGAAAATTCACCCACTCTCTAATAGCTTGGGAAAGCAAAAAAGCAGCACAGACTCTTGAGTTCCATCAAGTTCAGTTTCCAAATTGTGCAATCTTGGTAAATTAATCTATTAACCCCACCGAGACGGTTTGCTCCTCTTAAACTGAGAATGGTACCCACCTCATAGAGTTAAGCACTAGAATGGGAGCTCCATAAGGGCAAGGACTTTGAGGCCCACTGCATCTACACTGGACAGTACTGAACTGTATTGAACAGTGCCAGACACAGCAGAGGTTCTCAAATACTTGTTGCCTGACGTTGTGAGAAACTGACGGAGAGGACACAGGCACAGTATGTAACAAAATGTTTGCACGTAGTAAACACTCAGCAAACGTGAACCTCTTCCATCTTCACTATCCCCATCACTACCATTACTAGCACATCGGTATTATGTGACTGGCAGATGGAGAGCAGTCACCTTTGGAGAAAGACCCGGATTCAAATCTAATCTAATTCCCCATTTACCAGTTTTGTGACACAGGACATATCACTTAACCTATGCTGGTTCCTTTGGTTCCAGAAAAATCTCCACGTCGTGAGAATCAGAAGCTATGTGGCAACGACCTAACGCTGAATCTGGAGCCCTCGCCGCACGCGATACGTGGCAGCAACTATTACTAAGGAAAAAAAAAAAAATCCCCTTTTCTCCAGATAACTGCCTGCAATTTCCCACATTACTGTAGCTGAATACGTAACATGACCGCAAACAAGGGGAGGAAGGAAAGAATTTCAAAGAGACCGAAACCGCTAATCAAGAAAAAGAGGGAATTAAACCGGTGTTTGACAGTTCCCACCAAGGGGTGCTAGTTTCCCCGACTGTCAACCTGTCCGACCGGCCAAGGCTCGAGCAGGACAACCAGCTCTGATAGGAACAAAAAGGAGGCAGAGCAGACGCTTACACCCTCCCCCTAACGGTCTTTTGGTCGCTAGCCGCTGGCCTCTGGCTGCCGCGGGACTCCCGTTTCCGGCCCTGACCGGACCACAGCTCCCAGCATGCCTTTGGCGGGAAGTCTTTTCCCGCTGGATGACTACTAATCCCGGCATGCCATTCGGTACTCCAGTAAATTAGATGGAAGCGTGGAATGACCCCAATGAGCGCAGGGAATTGTAGTCCGTTTAGCTGCTGGCTTTTAGAGGGGCGGGGAAGAGCCGGGTCGCTCTCGTCAGCTGAGGAGAATGATTCATAGAGGAGGGTCAGGAGAGAACAGTTCTGGCTGCGAAAGCCCACTTAAAAGGCTGGACTCTTCCGCGAGGGAGGGAGAGGCAGGAGAGTAAGCGAGGCCTCGGGCCTGACCTCGCCTCAGGCCGCTCGTCAGGCCTCCATCGAGTCCTGGGCCTTGTCGGGGGCGGCCGCGAGGCGCCGGTTGCTGGGGGACCGGTGACGTCGCGGGGTGAAAGTTGAGGGGCGGTGACGTCGGCCCTGCCCGGGCGGAGGCTGGCGGGTTGGAGGCAGGAGGGAGGGAGGGAAGGAGGGAAGGAAGGAAGCTGGGAACGAGCGAGCGAGCGGGGGCGCGAGGCGTTTACCTGGAGGCAGCGGCTTGGGCGCGCTGAGCGGCCGCGGCTCCCCCGCACCTGCGGCCATGGATGAGGAGCGCGCCCTCTACATCGTCCGGGCCGGCGAGGCGGGGGCTATCGAGCGGGTCCTGAGGGATTACAGCGATAAGGTAAAGCGCCCTGGCCCCGGGCGTGCGGTAGAGCACCCCCGGGCCGCCCTCGGGGCTTGCACATCGCATCCCTCCCAACCCCCCTCATTCCGGGGATGCGCGCTGCTCCCCCCAGAAAACGTTTCCGGCTTGGGCATGCGTGTTTGTGCCCCCAGCCTTTCCCGTGCGTGCATCCTGCATCCCCCTGCCCCCACGCTGGCGCCCACTCCTCTGATTCCGGCCCAGCCGACTGTCCCACGGTTCTCCCCCCAAGCATGCAAGTCACACCCCCAGAATCCGTAGATGTGCGTCTGTGCCCTGTGTCCCACTCTTGAATGCATGAATGCACGCGAGGCTTCCTCACCTGTATGGCATGAAAATCTGTGTTTCCGTGCTTAAACACGGCTCTTGATTAAGCATAAAACGCATCAGCCACGGTGGCAGTTCTTTCTATACCTATAGCACTATATAGTTTTCAAAGCTTGAGGTCTCATATATGGTCTAACTTGATTCTCAGAGTGTTTACGGGGTAGAGGGTGTCATCCTCCCCATTTTATAGATGAGAAAACCGAGGTGCTAAGAACTGAAATCACGCCAAGGTCATGGGCATACTATGTTGTAAGTGGGGCGAGATTCAGACTCCTAGCAATAGCTATTCTTTGTATCGGGTTAACAGCTTTCCCAGCCAGTATCTCATTTAATCTTGACAGCAGTCCTGTGAGGTTTTATCTCCTTTTGCAATTGAGATTCTGTATCAGTTAAGAAACTTGCCCAAGGTCATACTTGGGAGCTGGGACTCCAGCCTAGGTCTTCAAACCATTCATTGTTCTTTCCACTTTACAGCTCTGCAGTAAAAAGGTATCTCGTTGTAAATCCCAGCCACTTCTCTGAATGTTTCTCCAGGAACCGTTAGCTCTCCATTACTTTTTCTTGCAGGAATTTTACGTGGTCACTTCAAAAGGTAGCACGCCACACCTTTATTCTTCCATTTAGAAGACTACTTTATAGGGATGACTGACCACTCACTTCTGTGAAAACACGCTCAACACCAAGTCTTACCCTAGAGACAGCACCTTTCTTCCTTTGACTGACTTGTACTCCTAATTTCCGCTTCTGTGTTTGCTGTGTGCCCACCACTGCGCTTTATTACACTTTGTACGATTGACCTGCCAGGGTGCCAGTTCTGCTCTGGGTGGAGAAGATCCCAAAATAAGATACCTTCATTCCCATTGAACCTTCCCCAACAACCCTGTGAGGAAGTGGTGGTATTCCCCATTTCACAAATGACATTTAGGATAATGTTGCCGTTGAGAGGTGGGGCTAAGATTCGAATCTCGGTTTTCTAATTGCTCTTTCTACAGTACTGTGCTACTTTCTTTGGGAGTATGGATGGATGGATTCAGTTCTGTTCGTATCTTAGCTCCTTCACTTTCCTTTTTTTTTTTTTTTATTTAAAAAAATTTTTTTTAATGTTTATTTGTTTTTGAGACAGAGAGAGACAGAGCATGAACAGGGGAGGGGCAGAGACAGAGGGAGACAGAGAATCTGAAATGGGCTCCAGGCTCTGAGCTGTCAGCACAGAGCCCGATGCGGGGCTCGAACTCACAGACCATGAGATCATGACCTGAGCCGAAGTCGGACGCTTAACCGACTGAGCCACCCAGGCGCCCCATCTCCTTCACTTTCTAATATGCTTTATTGTTGCATATCTGCCTAATTTGGGAGAAATTCACTTGATACATGGGTGTTCATATTACGGAGATGATATTCATTTAACTTGATTTAAAAAAAGATCAGAGGCAGCTACAAACTAATGCTCAAAAGAAAGAAATAGTGTTGAATCAACTAGTATTTATTTTGCAGTTACTATATGCCAGATAACTAGCAATCAGTAGGAACTTTCTTCTTTAGGGACGGGAGGAGGAAAAACCTCTAACTGGATCTGACCACCTTCTTCAATATTTCTCCTTCCCTCCAAGACTAAACTGATTAGAACTCCAGATTTGCTTCCTTGAGTCTACCTCTTCCCCTCCTTGATCTCCCTCCAGGTTGCTTTCCGCACACCACTCCTGGCCAACTGCTATCAGAGCTTAAGTTCTGGACATCTCCAGCTCCCCTTTCACACTGGGAATGTTTTTAGAGTTGTAATGCCCAGTGCATATTATTTAAGATGCTATTCCTGAAGTACTTTTTGGGCCAAGCCTCAGAATGCTCTGACTTGATGCGAACCGGGTCAGTCAGCTCCTTCAGAAAAGAGCGCTCCTGTTTAATGCTGATTATGGTAGGGCTAGCATACCAAGAAAATAGCTGAGGTTCATGTTGTTGGTGGGGCTTTGCTCCTCAAGGCGAGAGAGACCTTGGAGGCAGATGAATAGGAAGGGAAAGTATGATTGCGGTGGTCTGGCAGTAAGAATGGGGAGGTGGAATTAAATTGCCCAGCTCTATGGGATATGGAGTCTGAGATCCTGAAAAAGTAGCTGAACACTGTGCGCTTCATTTTTCTTACCTGGAAAAAATGGATTTGAGAAATGTTTAGAATGAGAGGTGATTGTGGGGCATTGAGGAGTCCAACCAAGAACAGAAATGAATCATGTACACAGAAAGTGATTGGGTCATTGTTTAGGGGAGGAGGTTCTTTATGCTACTTTATTTCTCTAATAAAGCCGGAATTTGAGACAGTTCTAGAAATATGGTATACACATTTGAATAGGTATGTCAATATCTTGGACCATGTAAGAGGACTTTTTGCTTTCCACTTGGAGGTTGAGTTCTGACTCTTTGAGTTCGTTCCACAGATTTTTGCAGAGGAGCATGTTTAATGGCTCAAGATAGTGGAAAGAAGGTAGAATTTAGAGTCAGATAAATCTTGGTTCAAATCTGCCTTTTATTGGCTTTATGACTATGGATTTGTTATTTTAAGCCTGGGTCGTGGCTTTCTTATCTGTAAAATAGGGATAATATTACCTAACTTATTATGCACCTTTAATTAACTGAAGTTTAATGCTGCACACTGAGCACAGGGCACCTAGGAGGCGTTTACTCAATGACTTATAGTTCTAATAGATCAAGGTACTCAAGACGTCTTGTGGCCATAGCACAGGCTCTGGAACCAGACTGCCTGACTCTGATCTTCAACTTAACCATCCATGTAGCCTCAGACAAGTTAACTTAACTTTGCTGTGCCTCAATTTCCTTACCTGTCAAACAGGGACAATAATAGTACCTACATCATAGATTTGTTGTCAGGATTAAATGAGTTATATGTGTAAAGCCCTTGAAACAGTGCCTGGCACCGAAGAAGAATCCCTAACTTTAGAACAACAAAGGCCGGAATTAAACATGTAGCACTGAGTTGATTTAGCCTGATAAAAATAATTGGGGAGTATACTCCATAACTTCTCATTTTCCTTGACCCTTACATTTTCTAATGGGTAGCAAAATACCTTGTACCATGTTTAGAGCCACAGTTACCTATCTGGCTCCAGGTAACAACATCTAATTTCTGTGTTAAAGAGACTGTAATTTTTGAGCCTTCTTGCTTCATTCACTGACTCTTGTTATCCTGGGGAGAGGGAAGATCTACTATCCCAGGAAAAATTAAACTTGTCTGTTTCTCGAGGGCATAATACAAGTTGACCCAACATAGGAAAGTATTAAAAAACAAATAGGAAGAGTGGTTGATCTTTTCCATTTGTCTCAATTCACCTGTTAACCTTTATTGAGTGCTTGCTATGTACTATGTATTATCTGTCCTAAGCACTTTCACATATCATCACATCTAATCCTCTTATATTAAAACTTATGAGGGAGATAGAAGTATTCGCTTTTGCAAGGGGAATAGGAAATTGAGGTTCATAAAGACAAGGTGACTATGAGCTCAAGGGCACATAGCTAGAAGTGGGTTCATGTTGCCTTTACCCTGTCTATTCTGTGTTTTTGAGCACAGAAGAGCAAAAGGTGTTCAGGACCAGTACGTTACTTTCTTTGGTTACTGCTGGGTCCTAATCACCTCCATTCTAGTTATAGATTGAGCTGTTAATCATGGGAGGTATGTATCTAGTCTAGGCTGTCCAGGCTCCTCCTCCTCCTTCAGGGCCTGCTCTGATACAGATTTAATAGAGAGATTGGTTACCATCATTATGATTATCACAACAAACAGTGATCAAGGGCTCTGAGGTGTACAATATCTTAGTTCCTTGAATCACAAGTTATTTAGACTAGAAGGACTCTCAAAGGTAATTGGATCTATCCCCTTCAGTTAATAGGTGAAGAAACTGAGGCCTAGAGTCATCAACTATAATGATAGCCAGAGAGGTGGCTTGATAGCCATAAAAGCCACCTGGGCATATAATTACCTTATAACAAGCTCCAACAGGATTTCATTTTGGAAATGAGGCAAATTTATGGCCAAATTAAAGGGAAAAATTATTTCAGATACAATCAGGTAGGTCTCCAAGAGTAGTCCTCATAAGAGAGGAAGATAACACTGATAGCAGTGAGGTCTTCATTTATGTGCTAGAAGAACCTGATTGATCGGGACCTAATATTGAGACAGTTCTAGAAATACAGTCTACACATTTGAATAGGGTATGTAAATATACTGGACCATGTAAGAAGACTTTTTGCTTTCCACTTTGGGGTTGAGTTCTGACTCTGAGCTCATTCCACACATTTTTGCAGAGGAGCATGTTTAGTGAGCTGTTCCTTTGTTATACCTTGTTCTTGTTTCCAGATTGAAATTCTATAACCTCAGTTACTGGTGTTTAGTTCTAGAAGTAACCTCTATTTGTGAAATACAGCACAACATGTACACACACACCACCCTGGTTAATTCCCTTGTATCAGTACTTTTGAGTGTATCTTCTGAAATATGAAATAACTCCTAGTTCTCTAATAGGTATTTGGCCAGATGCCACATCATAGGCCATGCTATAATAACAATAGTGGCCACTTACTGAACACCTGCTATGTGCAAGGTGCCATACATAAAAGATAAGGAAACTCTGACAGGTAGTAAAGTTGAATAACTTGACCAAGGTCACACTTTTAGTAAGCAGCTGGACTGGACTCAAACCCACTGCTGTCTGCCTCCTGAGCCTGAGCTTTTTAGAGCCTACTCATAGGATATAAAAACCTATGGGGAGGAGTCCTTGCGAGTCTGGTGTGTCACAGAGCTGTTCCTAGTTTACTTCGTCTCTAAATTGAACAATGGTTTTACTCTTTAGTTTATATTTGACTTGTTGCTCCTGTTCATCTGGAAATTAAGCACATAAAGAAGGTGAGGTGGTTGACTGTTGGCTGGCAGTTCTATAAAGGTATTTATAGCCAGAAATGCTAGTTTCCCTTCCCTTCTCTTTCAGCCTTAGAAAGGAGAGAGAGTAAGGGTTAGAAGTACTGAATAGGTTAGGTATGATCTAAGTTGTATAAAAGAAACCAGCCTTAGAGAAGCCAACATCTTTGGATCCAAACAATCTTGGGGGGTTGAGCTTCTGAATAGATTGGCACATTCAAAATTCAATTTGTATTGCCTCACATGCCAGTGTATTTTCTAATTAAATTAAGCCCTCATGCTAGTTAGGGCTTTTGAAAGCTTTTCTTTCTTTCTTTCTTTCTTTCTTTCCTTCTTTCCTTCTTTCCTTCTTTCCTTCTTTCTTTCTGTAACATTGTGGTTTTATGAGAGGATCAGCCTTGCATTTAAAAGCAACAGAAAATTTAGTCCTTGGTACTATTCAAAATTTTCACCATGAGGGGCGCCTGGGTGGCTCAGTCAGTTAAGCGTCCGACTTCGGCTCAGGTCATGATCTCACGGTCCGTGAGTTCGAGCCCTGCATAGGGCTCTCTGCTGACAGCTCAGAGCCTGGAGCCTGTTTCTGATTCTGTGTCTCCCTCTCTCTCTGACCCTCCCCTGCTCGTGCTCTGTCTCTCTCTGTCTCAAAAATAAATAAACATTTAAATCTTTAAAAAAATTTTTTTTTCACCATGAAAGATTAATTCTACGTAGAAACTGTTTAAAAGATATTTTTATAACTTAATGAAGATCTTTCCAAAAAATGATTTATTTCTCTATGCCTTTATCATAGATGCCAGAAAAAGTTGAGGAGAACCACTGTATTGGCGACTAGGTTCATTTATTGCAGATAATTTATGGAATTAATATTTCACATATAATGGCAAAAAAACCATAGCTTTTTTGGTTTCTAAGTGCAATTTATTTTCATTTGTATTGGACTTTTACTAAGCTTCAGTTTACAACCTTAGCCTGATGTCTCTTGTTTCTTTATCTTTTATCTAGAGTTAGTTTTTACTAAACCTCATGTCTATAAGTTCCCCAGTTATAGCCTTCAGATTTACAACTTGTTCTTCCTTTTTTCTTTCTTTCTTTCCTTGTTCATTAATTGATTTATCTTTTATTTTTAATATTTCCCTTTTAATTATAAAAATACTGCACCAACAATGATTTTGTCAAAAAAAAAATCACCAGATATTCCACTGTACAGTTGCTTTTATTATTTTTTTAAGGTTTATTTATTTTGAGAGAGAGAGCACGCATGCGTGTGCATGAGCAGGGGAGAGACAGAGAGAGAAGGAGAGAGGGAATCTGAAGCAGGCTGCATGCTGTCAGCGAGGAGCCCAATGTAGGACTTGATCTCACTGTGAGATCATGACCTGAGCTGAAATCCAGAGTCAGACGCTTCACTGACTGAGCCACTCAAGTGCCCCCAGTTGCTTTTATTTTTGCATTTCAACACTCAAGCCTTTAATGCATCCGTATACATATGTAGGTACTGTCATTGTAGACATCTAGCTTGGTGTTTTACTATTTTTCCACTGATGCCATTATAAGTAATTTTCCATGTTGTTAACAGAGATTTTTAGCCATCTTTTTTTTATTGCAATATAATATTTTATCAGGTGGATGCACAGCAGTTTATTTCATCAGTCTCCTGTTGTTAGATATTCAGTTATCTCTTTCTTCCATAATATTAGATAACACTGCAGTGAATATGCTTACATATATGACTTTACTCTCCTTCTGGATGATTTCATTAAGATAAATTCCTACAAGTAGAAGTTCTGAGTGAAAGGATGTGAGTATCTTCATGTTTTCTTGTATGTGTTGCCAAATTACTTTCCCTTTTAAAGTTTATGTCAATTTATACTGCTGCCAGCAATTTTGCACCTGGATTATTGATGCCCATTTCTTAGAAGGCTTTATGTCTTCAGTCTTGCTCTCTCCTTTGATCTGGCCTGAAAGCAACAGCCCAAAATATTCTCCCAGAATGCTGTACTGTTCACACCTACCTCTGTCTTCCTTGGTTGCCTATCACCTGTCTGCCAGTTTAGGTATAAATTTTTAAATCCAAGCCATCTAACCACCTAACATCATCTATTTTAATTGTTTTGCAAACCATATGTGAAGCAGCCTCTCTTCAGTTTCTTCAAACAACCCTTCTTTCTTACCTCAGTCTTCCCTCTGACCATTTCTTACATTCAGAACCACTTCTCTGTCAGCATTTCTCCATCTCACTTAATTTCAAAAATTGCTTCTTCTGCAAAGCTGACGACACAGAACCACCTGTAATGATGATATCTTTAGTACTTTGTGTACTTAACTCCTGATGAGTTGCTAATAAATGTCAGTGTGACCAATGAGAAAAATACAAAAACAAACAAACAGACAAAACAAAGATGTTCAGTGGAGATTGCTTTTAAAGGAAAACTCAAGATTCATAAGAGCACTAGGTTCCCCAGAATAAAACTTGAGAAAAGAATGAGAAATTTTGTGCTCAATTTTTGGGTCCTATCACTGTTTCTGTGGCTGTGGGCAAGTCAACTTACTCCATCCTCTGTTTAAGCTACAGAGTGGAAAATATAGTGTTGCCAGTCATCTCAGGAGAGTCATGACACTTTCTTCGCTTCTGATTATTTTTTTCCTCAATATCATTGGCGTCATAATCATTATAATCCTAATATTTACTGAGTGTTTACTATGTGCCAGGCACTGAGATGGTGTGTGTATGTATATATATATGTATGTGTGTATATATATATATATATATATATATATATGCCTTTGCTGTTTTAACCCTAACAGCAGCTCAGAGAACTAGGTATCCCCTCTATTCACATGAGAAATCCATTGATAGAGATTTTGTTACTTGCTCTGCTAGTTAGTGGTAGAGCCATAATTTAAACCTTAATTCTTACAGAATTACTTTTCTGAAATACCAGTCTATCAAATCTCTTCCCTGTCTACAATTCCCTGATCATTTCTTAGTGCATATGAAAAAGAAAGTACAAACTCAGCAACATTGGAAGACCCTTCCAAATTTCTGTCCAGTTTACTTTTCCATTCTCTTCTTTCTCTACTCTCCCATCCCCTCACATGTCCTATATTTCACTCTGGCAGAGCTGTTTATTTCACAAATATATCATACCATTTCACACATCTGAGTCTTTGTTTCTGTCTCTAGAGTGCTTTCCATTTGCCTCCTGGAAAACTCCTATTCATCCCCCAAGGTCCAGTTCAGATGCTCTGTACTCTATGCAAAGCATTCCAGATTTTCCTGGGTAGAGTTAGTGGCTTGGTACTCTATGTTCTTTTGTCTGTTTTTCTGCTGTAGTCTTTCACACTGCTTTATAATTATTTGCTTACATGCCTATCTCTCTTGCTTCAATACGAGTGTTGAAATACGATATGGAAAGGCAAGATTTTTACAAAGATACCTTTTAAATATAGCTGCAATTAAAACTCTGTGTATTTAAAATGACATTGTTTTCCTTCCCCCCCCCCCCCCTCAGCATAGGGCTACTTTCAAATTTGAATCAACAGATGAAGATAAAAGAAAGGTAAGCCTTGGTGTTACCGTGGGGGGGGGGGTATGTGTGTGTTTCATTCATGGACTTTCTAAACAGTGAACTTGTTTTTATCTGATGATTGTTTAGTTTTTGGTTTCCTTTCAGTTTGTTTTTAGGAACTGAGAAAAAGACAAGTACCAAGGTTAGTATGGATTACACACAACTTTCTCCTGTTCCATCTCCACAGGACCATTATGCTTGCATAAATCAGGGGAATGGGAACAGTTCAAAGGGGACTCTCTCCATATCTTCTCACCTCCAGAGCTTGACTTTATTTGGTAATAGACCTATAGATTGCCCAAAACGTGTTGTTGGTGTTGTGAAACTTGGCTTTGGCTTAAGTTTTGGGAAAGCAGCTGTTGATGCTGCTGCCCCTCAACTACACGTTGTTCCCTGTACTGGCAGTTATTTGTGTTGTCAGCAATTGTCTCGGTCACTGACTTAACAGGCATAGAGAAAAATGGGAGTCAAGAGACTTGCCAGTAGATGAGTTATTATAAGAAAGGGTGCATCTGAGATACGGTCATATAATGCTATGTTTGCCGGTTGGGGTTGCCTGTGGTTGCTTTACTTAGCTGATTAGAGCATGATGCTAAGGGAGAAGGCTACCAATTCCCCACGAGCATTTTGCTCAGCCCCATACATCTATCCCTGACCTTACAAATGTCAAGACCCAAGTGAGAGGGCATGATTGAGTGTAAACCTATCGCTGCTGCTGAAAAAATAGCTTAAATCCAGTACTTTGTTGGAAGCGGTTTGATAATACCTTGAAATCATCCCTTTATTTACCTCCACCCCTACCTAATGTCTGCATTTTGCTCATTTTACCTCTTAAGATTCCTTTAGTACACTCTCTCCTTAATCCCCGCCCTAATGCAAGCCTTCGTCTGAGTTCTGTACCAGTTTCCTAATCGTTCTTTTTCCAGTTATATGCCCTTTCAGTCCATTGTCCATAATTCTAAAACAATATGATCTTGTCATTCCCATCCTTAAAACTCTTGAGTGACTGCCTTTGCCTAGAGAATAAGGTCAAGTATCTTAACATGGTATACTACTTGTGCAGTGATCTGATCTCTGCCCACTTTTGCAGTCTATTGCTTACTATTCTGTTGTATTTTGTGCTTTAGCAATATGCTTCAGCTGTATATACATACACATCCCTTCTGTTTCTTACTTCCTAACTTTGTATATGTTGTTTTCTACCTAGAATGCCCTCTCCTTCATGTTTACCTCTTCGTCTTTTTACCTGGTTAATTCTTACTCAGCTCTAGGAGCACCTCCTTCAGGAAGCCTCCTCTAGCATTCTGTCAGGGCGAAGTACCTCTCCAGTGTTCCCATAAAATTCTATGTATATCTCTAATACTATACTTATATGTTGTCTCTTAATTATGTATTGACATTTCTCATTGTTACACCCTGCAAACTCTAACGATAGATACTGTTATATATCTTTATATCCTTGACATCTAGAGTGCCCAGCACATAATAGGTACTCAAAAAGTATTTATTGAATGAGTGACATGGGGTATAAACTTTGGAGGTTAAACATTTTCTTTTGGATTTGAACAATGTAAACAAGACTAGAGTGCATTGTAGAATGGATTCTCAACTAGAGGTACGCTGTTTGGAGAGCGTTTTCAAGATAGGCCTACTCAGGCCTGACTCCTTATCTCCTAAGTCAGAATTTGGGAGGTGGAATCCAGGCATGTATATTTTTATAAATGATCTTCAGGATATAAGTACTCACATTTGGTGGCAGTGCAAAATGGCCACAATCCCTATGGAACAGAAACTGGCACTATCTACCAAAATTATAGATGCATTTTGCCCTTTGACCAAGCAATGTCACTTTTAGAAATCTATTTTGTGGATAGGTAGAACCAGGTAAGCAAAGCTTCATTGAAGCACTATACATAATAGCAAATGATTAGAAGCAAACAAGTCTCCAGAAATCAGGGAGTATTTGAAGAACTAGGGTGCATCTGCATAATGGAATATTATGATGTAGGAAAGAGAGGAAGAAGGGGAGGGGGAGAAGGAGAGAGACAGGTATGTGTTAATGGGACAGAGAGTTAAGTGGGGGAAAAAAGCAAGGTGTTAACCTATTTTTTTACACACTCATGATAGGCATTCAGGTGAGGGAGGCACCTATTATTTTGATTTTATTTGAGAGAATCCATACTATATCTGTTGATTCATTGTGTCTTGGGGCTCTGACACTAGAATCTTTGATAGTACTTTTACTGGTCTAAATAAGTACATTAGGTGGTGCTTGGGTGGCTCAGTCATTAAGCATCCAACTCTTGATTTCAGCTCAGGTTACGATCTCAGGGTCTGTGAGATTGAGCCCCTGGTCAGGCTCTGTGCTGACAGTGTGGAGCCTGCTTAGGATTCTCTCTCTCCCTGTCTCTCAGTCCCTCCCCTTCCTGTGCACATCAAGGGGAGGGGTGTGGGGAACCATCTCAAAATAAATAAACTTTAAAAATAAATAAGTAAGTAAGTACATTAAGACAGGGATTCCCCCCATTTCATATAAGTTTCAGTTGAGGGAGAATAATTTCCCACTCAGTTGTTAATAAAGCATGTGTATTTTCTGTAAGATAGTAGCAAAACCTAACATTTCAAAGTATTTTACTGCCTTCTAGGTCTTTGGAGACAGTAACTCCTATACTCCTGTTATTTGCAGTGATAGTGTGTAGATTTCTGCTTCCTGGGAGGTCTGATAATAAACAAACCCAGGGGGCCCCCAGGTGGCTCAGTCGGTTGGGCGTCCGCCTTCAGTTTGGGTCATGATTTTGCAGTCGTGAGATGGATCCCCGTTTAGCGCTCTGTGCTAACAGCTCAGAGCCTGGAGCCTGCTTCAGATTCTGTGTCTCCCTCTCTCTCTCTGCCCCTCCCCCACACATGTGCTCGCTCTCTCTTTCTCTCTCTCTCTCAAAAATAAATAAGCATTAAAAAAATTTTTTTTTAATCCAATTAGGGACCTAGCTAGCTATGGCAAAGCGTAGGTAAAGAAAATCATTTTAGTCTCCAAGGGTTAAAAATCATTAGTGACCTTTTCATGTCTAAGGCCCTAAAAACTTGAAATGCTCTAAAGGATCCACATCCTAACAGCTTTTTAGGTTCTCAGTGTAGAGAGACATAGACTAGTAGGCATGCCTCCACATTAACCCTGGAGGAACTCAAGTTACTGTCCAGTTTGTTTTGCTGCCCTAGTTCTCTTTTCCTCTTTCCTAAGCATGTCTCTGGAGCCTTCTGCCAACAGCTTTTTGGTAATAGCAGCATGCCTTTCGATAAACTACAGGTGCTGTCTTCCTGAAAAGCGCAATACCTTTAGTCTGAAAACTTTTATGACAACTTAGAAGTAAATGTAAGGGAACAGACAGAGCCTCTCAAAAAATAAAACTTGGTTATAATGAGCTTTTTAAGAAATGGTTATATATTAATGATCCTTAGACCTAATTGCTAACACTTATGTAGTGTTTGCATTTTTACAAAGATTTGCTTTGCAACAGTAATGCACTAATGCTATAAGTATGGTGTGAATATCACCATCCCTATTTTATGGATAAGAAAACTGGGGCTTACATTAATGACACCTTGCTAACACTCTCGTGACTAGTAAGTAGTGGATCCTCAAGTAGAGAATAGATTTTCTGACTGTATATTTCAGAAGGTTTGAAATTATGACTCAATACCTTGTTTTATCTCTTATTTAATTCTTTGAGACACCATTTAGGCAACTAGACTTAAATTGGAAAGTAGCAAAGAAAATTAGCAAAAAGGAGTGCTTAAGATTTTCCAGAGAAGTAAAGTCAGATACAACTGTTATATTTTACATATAATGTAAATAGTTCCAGGTGCATGTGGATCATTGTATATTTGGTTATAAGCATCTGTACTTATTGAAGTATTTGCATTCCTTCCTCTACCTCTAGGCTGTGGTTGTTTATTTGCACATAAACAAATATATCAATCATGCAAATAGGTAGGATAGGGGGAAGTATGATGAATAATCTGAAATTTACATCAGAGGAAATGAAAGCTCTTATACTGGCTTCTAAAACACAACTGATCTCAAGTCCAATAGAGTGCTAATTGCAATAAATGTTGAAAAATACATGTCATAAAATGAGTAAAAGAATTGCAGCTCTTCTACCTGAAAGATAAGAATACAGCTATATCAAATATGGAAAACCTCAGTTGTTGTTTGAGATAAATCTTTGTGTATATAGTGATTTTCCTTAAAAGAGTGAAGTTGAAAATAGCCAAATTTCAAGCATTTGTGTCATTAGCTTTGAATTCACACAGATAAGCCCATTTTCTATAATGGCAGAGGATAATTGCTGAGTTGAGAACTCTTTGAGAACAAGAACTCTGGCTTAGTTTTGTTTATATTTTCAGCCCCCAACACTGCATGTGGCATAAAAGAGGCACCTATAGTAAACACCTGTTAAATAAATGGAGGGAACTTGGAGATTGAGTGGAGGCCAGAATTCCCTTTACTTGTACAATATTGTTTGACTTTGAATTTGATATTCTCCTAATTATACAGCAGAATCTCAATGTAATGTTTAACGTGAAAAAAATGGATATAAAAGTATACAGGATGATCACAGTCATGCAAAAGTAATAAAAACTGTTCAAAGAAAAATGACTATAAAGAAATTTGCTAAATGGTGGCTATCTGATTTTTCTTTCCCTATTCTGTATTTTAAACTTTTTTCTTGTTTATTGTAGATGACATTTTTCTTTCCCTATTCTGTATTTTAAACTTTTCTATTATAGATTATAATGATTTAATAACATGATAATTATAGGAGCGCCTGAGTGGCTCAGTTGGTTAAGTTAAGTATCTGACTTCGTTTCTTGTCATGATCTTGCAGTCTGTGGGTTCAAGCCCCGTGTCAGACTCTTTGCTGACAGCTCAGAGCCTGGAGCCTGCTTCAGATTCTGTGTCTCCCTCTCTCTCTGCCCCTCACCTGCTCACA